TTTTTTTTTTTTTTTTTTTTTTTATTTTTAATTTTTTTTTTTTGCTTTTTTTTTTTTCCCTCTCTAGTGAAGAGTTAGTTTTCAAATTTTTATTGTGGGTTTTTCTTTCTAAAATCCACTGAGTTCTAAAAGCTCAACTGCTTTGATGCTATGAGCTCAATTGTTTCTTTGCCTTTGTGTAATGTGCTCTGAATTGTATGTTCAGGTGCAGTTTAGGAGGATGTTGATGTATGAGAGTAGTATTCTGTTTAAAGTATAAAGCCAGATTGTATAATACAAGATTCATATCTATCTTTGTCTTCTAGAATAATTTAAAAGTTTGTTTGTGTAGAATGTTATCCTTAAATTTCTGTTTACAAGCTGTAATCTTTTTTACTCTTAAAATTTCTTCTAGATTAGCTCTGTTGTGGTACCACACAGTTGTTCGTCCCTTCTTTGCCCTTGATGGCAGTGATAACAAGGCAGGATTGAAGGAGGCAAAAGAAATTCTTGCAAAAAAAGAGTCTGCATATCCAAATTCTTCTCTGTTCATGTTCTTCAAGGGAAGGATACAGCGATTAGAGGTATTGCACATTTTCATCCTTTAGACTGATTTTTCTTCCTGATAATTTCTTATTTTTTTCTGATGTGAATGAATTGTGCAAGCTTCAACAGATTGTGACTAAAGATACAGGTATGTGGAAAGATAAGAATGATTGGATTAAGTCCTTCCTAGTTTCAAGTTCACATGCAAACCTTGCTCTTCCATAGATCTGTCTGAATTAATGACATTTTGAAATTATTTTTCAGCTACTTGATACTTCTGCAACTCTGTGCTAAAAGGAAGTGCATTTGGCCACTTGAATTTCTTGAGCTATTTCAGTTTTGCTTGTCAAGCTAAAATTGAGTATTATGTGCTGAGTACATAGTATTTATCTTCCACTCTGTTTTATGCATTGTTCATATACAGCTAATTCTCTGCTGTAGTTTTCTTTAAATAACTACTTTGCTTTTCAGAGGTTACACCAGGGTGTTTTCTGTTAGTAAGGGTGAGCTCTAACCTGAGCAGAAATGTTTTCACTGAAAATGTGTTTGTGAATGCTATTGCAAAGCATTATTAAAACAGTGTAGCAGCCTTGTGGATTTTGGCTGAATTATTCTCAAAGAGTCTGTTTGAAGTACTACTCAGCTCTTTGCTGCTGCTTTTATCAGACCAGAATATTTTTGAGCAATTACTTGAACCAGAAAACCTAACACAAAAGCAGAAGCCCAGAATGTTCAAACCCTTCATGTCAACATTATAATTACAAGAGCTAATTGAGATGTTTATATTGGTGGTTGTTCTTTGCTAGATTTGCAGCTAAGTCTTTCAGATGTAGCTCAGCATTTTCATAGAGGTAGTAACAGAACAGAGGAACAGGCTTCAGTGCCCTCTCAGATTTGCAGGCATATTCCTGCATGGGATTTGAATGTTGTTTTTCTTTTTTTGCTATCTTCTTGAAAGTAGTCATGCATTTTGGGAATTATATTGTCACAGGCAAGTTGTTGCTCTTGGGAAAGTATTGCTGTTGCCTGAGTAGGGAAGACTTTAGTGGATTTTATTCCTTTTTATGGCTATTCCATTCTTATGGTAAAAATCAACTTTTTTGGGAATAACTACACAATGAATGCAGAGTTTAACTTGGTATTTTAATGTGACAAGGAATAACGTTCAGATGATTCTTCCAACTTGCAGGGCAAGTTGTGGCGAAAGTCTAAACATAAATTGTTAATAAATCAAGTGTTTGTGTAAAGAAAGAGGATATATTTTTGGGAAAAGTCAGTCCCTTTCTGGAGAACTGTAATGTTTCAAATGAGAGTTATTTAAATGTAATCTTACTGCATTATTTAATGCACAGATACTGTATGGAGATAGTGAAGTTTAACTCCAAGTGAGTGGAGACAGCATGGCCATGTTAACTAAGTTAACTCAGGCAGGCAGAATGCTGTGCATTATGCTGTGTACCCATACCCTTAGTCAGCAGAAAACTATTTGGTTGCTGGCAGGAACTAAATTGTCCTTTTGCTATTCATGTGTGTGTTTTTATGAGAGCTTTTCCATTCAGTAGCCTGTTCCCCCTCCTCCCATCATTTCTTTGTTCCAAGTGGTGTCACAGAGATTTTGCTGTTTCTGAATGTTGTTTAAGTGTCGTGGGCTCTTCTGGATTTTGGTAGGACTTTTCCAGCTTAATTTGCTCAAATACTGTTGTCATAATAGTGAAGAAAGGAATGTGACTGGTGGCAATGGCATGGGGAGCTGCTCTGGGCTTTTGTACAACACACTTGTGGTTATGTGTGTCCTGAATCTGGACATTGGTCTTACAAGCATCCATTGCATATCAGTGTGTCCAGCAGGGCCAGGCCAGTGACTGTGTCCCCTTGTGTGGGGCACTGGTGAAGCTTCACCTCGAGTAGTGTCCAGTTCTGAGACACTCAGTTCAAGACAGACATTGAGGTGTGTCCAAAGAAGGGCAACACAACTGGAAAGGTCTGCAGCACGAGTCTTTGAGGAGCAGGTGAGGGAGCTGGAATTGTTTAGTCTGGAGAGGAGGAGGCTTAGTGGTGACCTTATCACTCTACAACTGCCTGAAAGGAGTGTGGAGCCTGCTGGGGATCAATCCCTTCTCCCAGGCAGTGAGGATGAGGGATGTGGCCTCAAGCTGAGCTAGGGGAGGTTCAAGTTGGAGATCAGGAGTAACTTATTCACAGAAAGGGCTGTTAAGCTTTGGAGCAAGCTGTGCATGGAGGAGGTGGGATCACTGTCCCTGGAGGTATTCAAGAAGTGGCTGGATGTGGTTCTTAGTGCTATGGTTTGGTTGACAAGGTGGTGATTGGTCAAAGGTTGGGCTGACCTTGGAGGTCTTTCAACCTAAATGATTCTGTGGTTCTGAACTAGAAGTGCACAGACACTCTCACATTACAGTCTAAAATGCTGAGTTGTATTTTCCTGCTCATTTCTAAGGTGGGTGAAGACAGCTCCTGCAAAGCCTAGGAAGTGCTTTTTTGGCCTTCCTTGAAACTGTTAGTGCAGTTAGGTTTAAATTCTTTCCAGTGGGCATAGGATATTATTCCAGGTTTGTTTGTTTTTACATAAGCTGTAGCTTATGTAAAAAAAAGAGTCCTTCTTTTACATCTGTCATATTTTAATAGTTCTATGACACAATATAATAGTACAGATGGATAAAAGGCACCTTAGATGTAATTGAGAAGACCTTGTGTGTTCCATTTATGGTTGTAGGGTTTGCATTAGGGCCTGCTAGCACTCAGTTCATCAAATTTTTTTCTTGTGATCCTGCATACATTTTTTGTAGCCTTCAGCTGGTGGTATATTCAGCTTCCATTAGGTAGCCTTTATACTGTGTGTATATTTCTTTTCTATGGAGAAAAAAACAGTAAGGAGCACAGTTCAACCCACAGACCCTTGGAAACAGGGAAACTGTTCAAAAGTCAGGAGCAGTAATTCAGGACTGGTCAGTGAGACACAGATCTGACAAAGGAGAAAATTGCCAAGGAAGGCAGTCAAGGAGAAAGCACTGTCTCTGTGAAACCTTCCTGTCTATAGAAGACAAATGAACAGCATGGGCATGAACAATGCTTTGTGCCCCAAAAAGCATGAATGGATATTAGTCACTAAAACCCTTAGCAGACTTCAGTTTTTGAAGTAGCTTTACAGGTGTGATAAATGTGGAGCAGATTATCTAGGAGCTTTCTTTTCCCAGATTCACATTTTTGAGAGAAAAGTCTGAAAGCATTTGGAGACTATTGAATTGAGTGAGTTAAGGGAAAAGAAAGGAGGATGATCTGGGAAGACTGGAATGAAAGTGCACCAGAAATTTAAAGGTTGCTCTGCTAGGTTGATCAAATGTCTTTTTCTTTCCAAAGAGTAGGTTAAGAGACTGTGTATTAAAAGTAGCATTTGTACTGACTTTGTGTAATTCACTAAGACTGCTTTTGTGGATATTTCTGTGCTTCATTTTTCATTATGTGGTACATATTTCTGCCTCAATATATATATAACATATAAACAACAGGAAATCTCAGGTTGCCAAAAACCCCTCAGGTTCTGAGGCATAACTCATATTTTCCATTGGTGTAGGTGCATGTAAATAGTCTAAAGGAAAAAGTACCAAATACTTCAGCTGACAGGCAGAACACCAGTGGTACTTTCAGGTGTGCTAAATCGTGGTTGATGAGCAGGCTGCAGAAAATGTGCAGTGGTAACATGCTTAAATGTAATGCCTGCAAGCACTCTTGTTTTTTAGTTACTTTTTGTAGATGTTATGGTATCAGCACCATCATTCTTATTTAGGGGTGAGAGGTTATGGGACAGAAAAGCAGACTGAGGACAAGAGTAATAACAAGTATTGAGAAGTCTTAAATGAGCTTTCTGGAAGAAAATCACAGTAGTGTCTAAAGTAAAACAAATTGCAGAGCATGCGTAACATCAAGGGTTGTTTTCAGGAATTGTGTTGACTTTTCTAGTTACTTGTTCCTATAAAATACAGTATCTTAGTTTTATTCTAGTTTGATTTTGTGACTTGTCTAAGGAAAAGTAGGTTTTAGTGTGCTAAGGAATAGAAAATACAGTTTTTGAAACATCCATATAATGGTCTCCAGTGTGAATTGCTAGCTTTTAGAAGTTGATTTTTGGTTTTCCCTTATTTCTGAGCATGACATCTTAAAAGCTTTATGAATTCAGAGTGGTGATTGAGAATGGAGAGTTCTGACAGAGGGAAAGTGTCCTGAGATTTCAGAACAACTCTGGGGAAATGTGTGCTGTCTTGGGAAGCTGAATTGTCTTGGTAAGCTCTAGAGATGCTTAGTTGTTTGGCTGGGGTGCTTTTAGTTTTGATCCAAAGTCCAGAAATGTAAGACTAGGCTTCTCACATTCAGTTTATTAATCTTCTTTATGGTTTTGTAATTCTGTATACTACATATTTTATGGGTTGGGCTTTTTTTGTCTTTGTATTATGTCCAAAAGAGATGTCAGTGATGTCTATTGAAGGAATTACAAGTGTGTGTATGTATATTTATAAATCTCAAGAGCATCAATTTCAGTTGCAGCCAAGATGTTACACTTGCAGACTCCTAGGACTTTGTAATTATTTTTGTTTGTTCTTTTAAGCAGTAAGCAGAAAATAATTAATTTAAGAATTAACACCAAGAGTAGTTCATATTCCAGGATGTTGCTGCAGTCCCTTGAGATGATTGAAACTTTAATTATTAATGAATGTCTCAGAAACATACTTAAATGAGCTTGATGCTGAAGGAGAACTTAGGCAGATGTCAAAACATGTGAGAGATATAGAGAGTTAAGAGAGGTGGGTTATAGAAGATTTGAATATTCAACAAACTGGACTTGTATACTGCTAGGTGGTCAGTATTTCCTGTGCTGCCCCAGGCAGATTTACAGACAATTAGTTGATTGCCAGTAGTCCTTGTATGGAATAAGTGATTTCTATTTCAGAATGTTTAGGGGTTTAGAAGGAAGTGTATCTTTAAAGAGGGCTAAATATTTAGGTTATCTTTTTTTTTTTTTTTTTTTTTTTTTTTTTTTTTTTTTTTTTTTTTTTTTTTTTTTTTTTTTTTTTTTTTTTGGTAATTTTCTTCAGAAGCACTGAGAACATAGATTTACAGAGCTTTTGAATTCCTAGCACAGAAATAAACTTCTAAACGGATGTTCTTTTATTTCATTTTTCTGTAAGACTGGACCCATAGCAGTTACTTTCTGGGAAGTTGTGTTGTTGGGGTGATGCAGCGTCAGTGGAGTCACGTAAGGTGGAGAGAATGTGCTGTCACAGGGTGAATAAAGAGCACCTGGCTCAGGCTCCCTGACACTTCTGAGGGCAAATATAACCCACCTGTCTTTCTGTGTTGTATATTCTTCTGCCTTGCCAACAAGCATCTTATTTCAATCACTTTTGTACTTTCCAAGTGTACAGTGTTTATATTGATACAGCTGTGGCTCCCTGTGCAGGCAGTTGTGTTGTCTTGATGCAATGTGTATTATTTACAATTAAATCATTCCTTAGCAACTAAATCAGTTTTCCCTGATGAGACAAAGGAGAAAACTTAATACAATCATTTCAGAGCTCTGTGTATGCCTGGACTTAAGCTACAATGCTGCAGATTTTTGTAGGAATTTTTGAATTCAGTTATGCTGGCATAGATGGTTTCTTTTGCTCACATGCTTAGTTAGCAGACAGCAGCTTAAAAATTGTTCTGTTATATAAATTATAATAAATGTATGTGATAATAAATGCAGGAACAATATTAAAGCTGGTATAGGTTGTATTGGAATATATAGTATATTTAATTAAATATTGATTTTCATTCCCCCCCATGATTGATAGGGAGAAGTCCCATCCCAGATCGGGAAAACCGATCAAGTCAAGAACTATCATTCAAGTTCTTAGAAAAATGTCAGCTCTTTTTGCTAAGGTGTTGTTAGCTATTGATTTTATCAAAATACTTTTTCTCTCATATGCTTTTTTATCTTCTTATGTGTCATGCAGCATTTATGAATTCTCTACTAACTGTTGCTTTAAGGGGTTTCTGAGGCATATGGTAAGAGGTGAAAAGTTCAGAATAAATGAAATCAAACACTAAAGGTATCCTCTTGTGCAGAAAGATAAGCTTCATTAGCAGATGTTAAAAATATTATTTTTAAAGGTGGAAGGACTACTAAAAGTAGAAGTGAGAAAACTTACAAGCTTACTACACAAATGAAATTAATTCTGGACTTAATAGGACATAGGAGTAGTATAGTCACTGATTTTTAAGGTTGACGGTGGAGACATGATCTGACCTAGCTGCTATTACACTACTATACTCCTCTAGTTTTTATTAACTACCTATTAGAAGAAATAGAAAAAAGAAACTTTTCTTTATCAGTATTAAGTTATACAAGAAATTTTAAATCTCAGGTGTCTGAATTGTTTCTTTTTCTTTCATCTTTGTTAGTGTCAAATTAATAGTGCCTTGACCTCATTTCATACTGCTTTGGAACTTGCAACAGACCAAAGGGAGATTCAACATGTCTGTCTATATGAAATAGGTACGTTGGGTGTATGTGGAGTTGCATTATTTGTATGGGGCAGGAGCGCGGCAGGTGTGTTTACATCATAAATAGCTCACTTTCAAGTTTTGACTGGCAGCTTCAGTAAACAAACTGGAGACTTCTTACTAGGATTTTAAAAAAGGTTTTAGATTACTAGCCTTTGTCTTGGGTAAATTATGGTAATAATCTTCTTGTTTAGACAAGTATAATTCAGCACTTTTTCATAATAAAATTATCTACAAGTACAAAGTGATGCAAAATCAGAGAGTTGACTGTGGAATCAAGGGCAAGCTGTTAACCTATGAAGTATTATTTAAAATTAGGAATAAATTAATCTGACTTGTCAATGGATTCGCCATTTCTGTGCCAAAACCTAATCAGTTTAGTGAAGCTTCACAGTTTGCAGGGTCTGTATTTTGTTTTCATTTCCTTCTATCAATAGCAGGATATGATATATGGTGTCAATTTGCATACAAGTCTATAGTGGAGAAGATAGGTTGCTTCAAGCTTTAAATGGGATCTTGTCACAGTAGAAAATAATAATGGAAAAAGTAGTAGCTTTGTAAGTTTCAGTAATCTGCAAAATGGAGTATCTAAATTTTAAAAATGAGAGCTTCTGGTATATAATTTTGTTCCTGTTCTGAAATGTGGGTTCATTATTTCCTATGGAATCTTCTAATTCAGAATGTCCCAGTAAATTTAAACCAGACTTCAAACGTATGTAATTTGTTTTGTTTTTAATTTTCCAGTTGCTTTTATAGTTGTTAAACATGCTGCAGCTCTCATAACAAAGCAAACACAACAGAACTGTGTGTTTCACTAATGTTGACACTGAGTTTGAATTGCTGTACTTCCCGTGAGGTTAAATCAGTGTTGCTTTTAGGTTGGTGCAGCATGATAGAGATGAACTTCAAAGACGCCTTTGAATCCTTCGAAAGGCTTAAAAATGAATCCAGGTGGTCCCAGTGCTACTATGCTTATTTAACAGCAGGTGAGTATATCCAGGGTATTGGGGAAAGGGTAAGTCAGTGATGTGGTAGGGTTTTGGCACTGTTTTCTTTTGGGAAACTTGCTGGTGCATGTAGTGCCTGCTGCACAAGCGGCTTTGTGCCAGGCTTGACTTGGACAATGGTGTTTGTTTCCATAACGAGCACTTGCATGCTCATACCTGTACCTGCCTGTCTGTACACCCCTCTCCATGTAGATAGATATTACTACTTCACAAGCTTGGTGATATTACTTCCTTTAATGGATATAAAAAGTAGAACTGACTTTGTAATGAACTCCTGGGGGTGTTGAGATTACCATGCTGATCAAATCCTCAATCTAGATAACTTTCTGGAAGTGAGCATGTGGAGGTTTTTCTCTGTGACCATATGATATCTAATCTTAATTTTTCCTGTTACATATCCCAGTACTGTTAATGTATTTTTGTTTCTGTATTTTTGCAGTGTGTCAGGGAGCTACTGGTGATGTCAATGGTGCTCAGAATGTGTTCAAGGAAGTTCAGAAGCTTTTCAAAAGAAAAAACAATCAGATTGAACAATTTTCAGTGAAAAAGGTTGGTTTTTGCCTAGGCTGACTTGTTTTGGTACACTGATCAAACAGTTCAGTTTTTAGTTCAATATTTTCTTTAGCAGGATGTATTTCTTTTTTGCTGTCCTGCTTCTGTAAAATTTGTGGGAAGGAATAGGGTGGAAAAAGAATAGTGTAATTTGAAGGACCTAACAAAGGAAATGGGAAGTAATTATTAAAGATAAAAGTACATGATACTGTAGTTGCTTTGGTAATTTTTCTTCTAGCTTTGTCTTCCTTACCCCTTTTTATCTTGTCTTGTTTGTGAAACCCCTAGTTATTTTGGAGAGCTAGGAGTTGTCTAGGAAATAGTTCTCAACTGATGATCTTGCAGATGGTACTGTCTCAGCATCCAGTCAGTGTGTATTGGGCCAGTCAGGCTGCATACAAGGAAATTTTCATTTTGATCAGTGTGTAAGCCGTTAAATTAGTTGAAAGATTTTGATTTTTAGTTTTAAAATATTAAGGCTAAGTTACCACTGACTTTATTTTCATAAAATTGTTGGGTGACTTTGTAAAAGAGTTAAAATTAGTGTTTATGATACATTGTTTGTGAATATCATGTTCCCTCTAAAGGAAAAAATTATGGATCTCCCTTCCTTTTTTCTGCATTTTGCAGGCAGATAGATTTAGGAAACAAATACCAACCAAAGAGCTCTGTGTCCTGGCATCCATTGAAGTGTTATACTTATGGAAAGCCCTTCCAAACTGTTCCCTCTCAAACTTACAGCATATGAGTCAAGGTATACATGGCTCCTTGATTTATTTATTTACATTTTAAAATGAGTTGTATGATTTTATGCTGTTGTGTGGAGTAACTAATAGCAGTAGCATGAACATTTTAACTTGTGTGCATGTGTCATAGCAAAGTACGGGTGAGTAACAAAAGAATAGTGACCTTTTATGACTCAGCCTAATGCTTCATTTTTACAAGTTTTTGGGAGAAGTTGTAACTGCCTGCTGCATATAGCTGTTTGTTGATCATTGTTTAAAATGAAACAATAGCATGATTGTTCCTAAGCAAAATTTACTGTCACTAAGCAAAATGTAACTCATTTAAACCTAGCAACAAAATAGAAAACAACTAGAACTATGTGTTCATTCCTGCATGTCAGTTTTCTTCTAAGATGAGATAGGTAGCTTGTGAGGTTATCTGTGACATGATAGGTGTTCTGTTTGTCCTGAGACCTTCTTGGTAGTGAGTGGTTGGCTCTTCCTTGGTCTCCAGCTGACTTGGAGATGTCTCATATGAAGCTTATGGTAGCAGTGTGTATCATTAAGCGTTCAGTGCTTCTTACTCCATCCAGCAATCACTCTTATTTGCATTCTGCAAACAGTTTCAAGCTGGTTGAAGAGAAGCTTAGCATGACCTGGCAATATGCATTGGCAGCCCATAGATTTCATCCTGGGCTGCATCAAAAGGAGTGTGGCCAGAAGGTCCAGGAAGGTGATTCTGCCCCTCTGCTCTGGTGAGATCCCTCCTGGAGTGCTGTGTCCTGGTCTGGGATGCTCAGCACCAGAAAGACATGGACTTGTTGGAGTTGGTCCAGAGGAGGGACACACAGATTATCAGATGACTGGAGTACTTCTCCTGTGAGATCAGGCTGAGAGATTTTGGGATGTTCAGCCTGGAGAAGAGAAACCTTCAAGCAGCCCTTAGAGAACATTTTAATTCTTAAAGGGGACCTGTAAGAGAGCTGGGGAGGGACTTTCTACAAGAGTGGGGACTGACAGGACACAGGGGAATGGCTTTGAACAGAAAGAAGGTGGATATAGATTAGATATTAAGAAGTAATTACTGTGAGGATGGTGAGGCACTAGATCAGATTGCCCAGGAAAGCTGTGGATAGCCCATCCCTGTGAGTGTTCCAGGATAGTCTGGATGAGGGTCTGTGTAGCCTGGTCTAGGGAAAGGTGTCCCTGCCTATGGGAGGGGGCTGAATCAAGAGTCAGGACTAGTTGTGGTGTTTGTTCCAGTTTTAATTTGAGATAACTTGTCCATTTAATTTGTGCGATGGCAGTGGGATATATTCAGATTCCTAGTTTTCTAGTCAGAAAGGTAATGGTAGGCTTTAAAATCAGATTTACTTACTGAATTATTTACTGATCAAAATAAATTCAAGTATTTTTTTTGGCTGTCATTTACCTTTAGAGTTGTCAACTTTATAGGGTATAAGGAGTTTGTATTCTCTCCTGCACACTCAGTGTAGGTCTCCCTTGTGTAAGCTTCCAGTCAGTGGTTCACATTTTAATGTGAAATAGCAGTGTAGGTTCAAATTCAAAGATACACTGCTTGTTTGACACTGACAAATGTTTGCATCAGCCATCCCTGGTTGAAGGTTTTCTGTGCAGCGAGTGTTATTCTTGCACCTATGTGTATTTCAAAAACATGAATAATAGGGGGGTTTTATCCCCATATTTATTTCCTCTTGTCATGAACAATTGGATTGTAATTTGTTGGGGTGGATTTCCAGGCTTTTCCTCAGGGCTAGAACTTGACTTAAAGGAATTAATTTGTATCCACTTGCATCTCTGTAAGTAAAATGCCAAATAATTTATGACTTGTAATCCACACAAGAACTGGCAATCCAAATACTTCATGAAGCCACCTTATGGTTATCCATAGGTGCTTTGAGTTGTGGATTATCTGTGTTGTGAATGCAGAGCTGGTTAAGATCTGGCAGGGTTTATGCTGTGAGGCAAAGTGTTTAAGTAGCTGCACTGCTTCAGACACAGCAGTTACAGGATGAAAAGCCCTGTACTCTCTCCTTCTGGTGGTGCTGGTGTGGGCAAGTGCAAATGGCTCCTCATGGAACTCGCCTTGATTTAGCAGAGCTGGCACTAATAAGCTTGATCAAAATGGAGTCCGATTCGTTTAGAAAGGGTTCCATGCATTGTGATTCAGTTTTTCCTGGAAACTGAGAACTACTCAGCTGAGGCACAGTCTGTCCCCAGATTGTGGGCCAGCTAAGGTCTGGCAAATTAACCTTATCCTCCCATCAGCACTGAGAATTGTGATACCAAAACACTATAGGCTGGGTTCTTAAGACCAGTACAAATTTTTGTGCATCTGTCACTTGGCTTCAGTTCAGAAAAAGTCAGGTTTGTCTGAATTGCTTGTCCTGTGCTCCTTCTAACTTGTATTTTTCTTTCAATATGTGGGATTAACCAGTGTTCTGTAACACCAGAATGAGATTATTGTTTCTTAATTTTACCTTTTTGTGGATATTTCAAAGACCAGTAAAGATCAGTCCTCCTTTTGTGAGAGGAGCACACCAACTGCCTTTGACTTCAACCTATTCATTCCTGTTAGGAATTGCTCTCATGAGTGGCAGATTTCTTGATGAGGTCCATACAGAATGGGTTGTATTTAAAAGAAAATAACTTACTTGGTTTTCTGTTAATGTTAATAACATCTCTTTTTTCTGGCAAAATTTAAATATCAGACTAAAATACAACGTAAATAAGGTATTGTCTAAGAAAGTATTTCAATCCACCTTGTTTACTGGAATCTTTTCATTAAGCTTGTCATGATGTGGATGATTCATCAGCTGCTGGTTTGAGGAATTTGCTTCTCGGTGCCATACACAAATGTTTAGGAAATTCTGAAGATGCTGTTCAGGTAAGTAGTTAAATGGTAATTTCCACCTTTATTCCTTTTCTAAACTATTCTTTTTAAAACAGTGAATACTTTTGAGTAAGGGTGTTAAGCAAGTAATTAGTTTTTCAGTGCCATTGATCATTCTGGTTTGTGAGTTCTAACAGAGTTTCTTTTAAAATCTTCTGATTTAACATGTCTTCATTATATTCTGTGCTGTGAAAGTAATTGGCTTTGTTGAATGAACATGGCAGTAAAGTGGTTTGTAGTAACAAGAGTTATGGGGAAGCTGGGAAGAATAAGAGAAAAGTTTTTGCTCTGCTAGATGTACTTTGTCCCCCAGAGAAAATGAATTTTTTAGAAGTATCTTGGAGATTGCCCTTTTGATGGCACAGGTTTGTTGCTTCTTCTCTGAACACGTTAGAGAGAGGACTTTGATTATTAGCACATACCAAAGAATAATTATACCACCACTCTAGGTTTTGATCTGTAGATCCAACTCTCCTTTTTCCTCCCCAAAATAGAATGTTATTCATATAAGCAGCAAGACGCTGGATTTAAACCCTCCTTCCCCTACCCCATTTCTCTCAAACATACCTTAAATAATCTGGATACTTCATCTTTGATGTCAGAGTTTCTTCTTAAAGCTAATATTTTTTTCACTGAAATTGGAAAACTCTTGAATCAGTCACTATACTACTTGGTAAAAATACAAACTAATAATTTTGCCTTGATACAGCAGTGCTGTAGGAATCCATACCATCACACATTTTTAATGTATTCTCATTTTAGCTTTGGCCAATTTCTACAGATTACAGTTGAATGGTGCTTCTGCATTGCTTGGCAGTAACAACCAGAAAATTTTAATGTACCTCTGCAGGCTTTGATTTCTTTTTTTTTTTCTTTCATTATTACAGTATTTTCAGCGAGCTGCTAAAGATGAACTCTGCCGTCAAAGCAACTTGTACGTCCAGCCATATGCTTGCTATGAACTTGGCTGTATCTTGTTGGACAATCCAGAGGTAATACAATGACCTGTTTTTAAACTTAACCAGAAGTAGTAGAAGGAGTCAACATACTACCATGCAAAGAATGAAACAAAGTTTGTAGGTGATTGTCAATATGAAGTTATAAAAATTTGTTTTATACCTACCATAAAGAAACTTACAGCTTTGTGGGGGATTCAGTCCAAGAAATGGAATGTGTTTTAGATCAGAATGTGTTCGTTTTTTAATATTGAGAGTGTTCCTGCTGCTAGTGGCAACAAAGGCCTCACCAGAATGCCCTGGATAAGCAGGGATTTCTTTTCTGAAGGTGGTATTTAGTCTGGTAGATGTCTAGGGTCCTTTCCCCACCTATTTAATGTCCTGTTGGATGCCATTCAAAGTTCACCTGTACTTATTCTCTCCAAATAGAATTTGATGCTTTCCTAAAATAGTAAGTGTTTTTTTTAGTCATTTAAATTCCATTAAAGCTGATTGTGTGGGCATTTTGACTTCCACCCTGAGTAGTGAGGGCTTCGTTATTCAGGATGTGGAAGAAAATAACCCACCTGGCTTTCAGATTGTCCAAATGGCTTGGCTGACAGTGCATTTAATTGTCCAGGTCTTTGCACATACCCTACCTCAGAGAATCTTAAACCAGAACAGCTTGTGCAGCACTCTTGGTGCCATTTCTCTCCTCAGATGTGTAACCCCAATCCTTGGAGTTTATGCCACCTTGTGTCGTTAATCAGATGGCAGGTTAGGAGGGAAGTGGTTACAGAGTAGTCACTTGAACCCCCCCCTTCTGTGTATGAAGTAGTGGGCTGATAGTATCTCATTTTCTTAAGATTCTGTTTTCAGTTGTTTTTGTGTTGTCACATTTAGAGTTGAGCCTTCATCTTAAAGGGAGAAGGAGAGGAAAATCTTTCAATATAGACAATTATGACAAAGGGCAGAACTAGAAAATGCTTTTAAAACTAATTTTCTTTTTGAAAACCTTGCTGCCCTAAGACTTAGAACTGGGCTTTGAAGCCTGGAAGGAATATCTGAGTCCCATAACAGTTCTTATTGCCTTTCTTTCCATGTTTATGTTTAAATTTGATCATGTCAAGTGTCTAAAAGAAACCCCAAAAAATGTGGGTACTGAAGGTATGTTAAGATTTGAAGAATATGAGAGCAGTCCTTCCTTCCTCCTGCTTTACATGCAGTGTGTGCACATAATAACTGAATGTGCCTCATGTAGAGTATTTGAGGACTGAATGAGGCTCAGCTGGAGGAGCTGTGGTAGTGTTTAGCATATGAAGGATGTGGAGGAAACTCCCTCTCGTGGCACTCAGCAAATTAGGAGGTAAATGATGCTTGACTTCAATAAAGGGATGGGGTAGGGGAAAGGTACAGAGATGTTACTCCGGTCTCACCAGCTCATTTACTTAAAGTATTTTCTGTAACATTTGTGATGTGCTTCCAATGCAATGTTTGTCTTTTTGTAGACTGTGCCAAGAGGCAAAACCTTACTGCTCCAAGCCAAGGTAAAAACTAAGGCATTTTCTAATTTAATTGTCTGAGATAAAAGTGTATTTGGGTGGTTCTGTTTTCAAGGGCTTGGGGAAGGGGGAGTGGGTGTTAAGTGGTGGTGTCCCTCACCTGTAGTCTACAACTCCTGTCATGTAGATGTGCATTAATGTGCATGCTGCACATTTATGTGTGCTCCATAGGTATGTGGTACTAGGCCAGCCATCACACAGAGCCCACATCACTGACAGCTCCTGCAAATTGATAAGTTTTTCAACCAAGATTTGGCTGCAAAAATTTTGAAAATTACAATTCTTCATTCCTTGTCTATTCCAACTTGTTCCTGCCTTGGGCCTGTTGGGATTTTCTGGAGTTTTTGGGTTAGTAGAACCCTTCAGGTGCTCTTCAACTATATGTGCTTCAATCTGCCCTCTTTACCAACTTGGAATTTCTCAAATTCCTTTGCTGTGATTAATATGGGGATATTGTAACATGCAATAGCCAGTTCACCTCTTTTTCTTTGGACTCTTTTGTAACATGATTTTTTAAGCATTAATAGCAAGATTATCAGTATATCCTGAAGTGAAGGAGGCTAATAGGTATATGTTTGGGGTTTTTTTCCTTTTTTTTTTCCCCCAGGAGGAATTTTCTGGCTATGACTTTGAGAACAGATTGCACGTCCGCATACACGCAGCCTTAGCCTCTCTAAGGGAAGTGGTTCCACAGTGACTGTCAGGAAGGCTTGCTATCCTTTCCCACAGCTCCTGCACTTTAGGATGAAGCAGAAGAAAGAGCTGTTGGGAAGTCCAGCTTTTCTTCTGAAAACCACTTGTGCCAGAGACACTTTCCTACTATGGCTGAGTAAAAACATTACAATTTTAACTAAAGGTAAACAACCAGGAAGAAGGTTAAGTGACCTTGTGTTTTTAACTCTTCATTTTTTATTTTGTTTAAACTAAGATGAACACAATTACTTGTAACTCTGTGGGTGAGCCTAAATAAGCACATGATTTGCTTCAACAACATTGGCAAGGTTGATTTTTACCTTTTAAAATGGATCTACATTTAAAATTGTCCAGGAGGAACACTTTTGGTTTGATTAGAATAATGCAGTATAAGTCATTGGTTTAAATGTTGAAGTTGGAAGTGGTCAGAATACTCCTTTTTCTCCAAGTATTAGCCAGCACACAGGAAGAGGAGGAAAACTGTTCAGCCACATAAAGCAGATCTTACTAAATATTAGTGGCTTTTGCCACTTACCTCATGATGGTTAATGGTGAATTTTAAACCTCTCACCCCCTTTTGTTCTTTATCCCTTTCCTCCAAACCCAGCTCATATTTGTGATATCAATGATGTCAATATTTAAGTTCTTTGCTTCTGGTACATTCCAGACGAATAATTTGACATGCAGCTACTGCTTGGGCAGTTCTTATTTTGACTCTTATATTCTGAATATCATGCTAAGATTTTACATGTTTTTCAATCAAGCTGCTGGATCCTTATAGCAGTGACCTTTAAAGGTATTTTAAAAACCCGCAACCAAAAAAATGCCAACCCACAAAACTGCTTTGGTAGTTACACCAATATTACAATGTCTTCAGTCTCTGCATAGTATTTCAAGCCTGTGGTGTTAAGTAATTGAAATACCTCAGAGAGCCTAAAACTTTTGTCATGACC